GCTCTCCATATATTCCTAGTATTGAAGGCAAAACCAAATAAAAACATAAAACTTACCCAAGCTTTACTAAAGATTTTAATGCTACAGGAAATCACACACAGATACAAATCCAGTATTAAAGATAACTACAMAAACCAACTTCTGTCAATGCTTGCTTGTGAGTTTCCACCTACTGAGTGAGTCGGTGGTGTCTCGGCCCAGCGGGTGTGYGGTGGCCTGACCGTCTCCTGTCGCTCCGCTGTCTGAGTCTGATGTCTGTCTGTCAGACTGCAATATCTGAGGAAACATCGGTACTGAGCAAAATCATGTTGACCAAAATTTGTCAAATGCATTTTATTGACTGAATTCTAAACACTTTTATGCTGACAGTGAATTTAAACGCCAGGTCGCAGCGCAACCGTCTGATTCAGGATATGAAACATTGGAAAATGAACCTAATCAGCAACCACAATGGTACCCACAGGAAAAAAAAATGAATAAAACAAGGCACGTCAAACTGTTGTGTCATGTGTAGGCTGAAAGAGGTGACTTCAGCCACATAAAAAACTAAACTGTAATAAAAATAAAAAAATGGGTCAGACTGATTCAGTAGCTAAGCCCTCCAGCTGCTCTCGGGTCAAAATGACCGCCTCAGTTATAAAACTGGTCTKAAGACACACACATGCAAAACCACAATGACTACACTGAAGATAAACTGGCTGAAAGTCAAGGTAATAAGCTGAAACTCACACACACTTTTTTTTATCCTTCTGAGGACTTTGCATTGACTTCCATTCATTTGTCGTTTGTTTCTACAGCCTAACCATGAGCCTCTACCCTAAACCTAACCCCCCACCCAAAATCAGCATCTGTACCCGTGGGGACCAGGCTTTAGTGCCCATGAAAAGCATCGGGTCCCCACAAGGCTGTGTTTTTCTCAAAAGGTCCCCYTGACGTAACACATACGTGTCCACACACACCTTGTCAATCTCCAGTTTCCTTTGTATAATCGGTGAAGTGGATCCATTCAGTCCTTCAGTGTTGCTGCACTGGTTGCCAACATCGTGGACCACCTAAACCCCCCAGAAAAGAAAATCCCTTTACTTCCAGGTACTCCCTCGGCCATATTTGACTGTTTTTAACTTTGTTTTTGTCTAACTTAACATAAAATGTTTGATACAGTGAATAAATGTACCTTGAGCCAGCGCTGGGCCTGTTCTTTGCTCTGAACGGCCAAGACAAGAGCTTCRCCACCAGGTAACGAGAAGCGCAGCTCGTGCCTCTTTTTCCGACCTTCCTTTGGGACGTAGATGACGTTGCAAAGATTCAGCGGGAGCTCTGTGTTGGGAGAAGTCTCCTTGATGCTCTTAAAGCACTACCATTAAAAGACAAAAAATTCATTTATAATTAGAGAGTGTTAACACATCTGAACCTCAGTTAGATGAAACTGATAGATTTAAAAGCTTAACTTAATACCTGAAGTTTACTATCTTTAACAACAACTAGCTGCTTTGTCCATTGGCCGAAGCGTTTCTTTCGCAGCAGGAAGGCACAGATGTGGCAGTCTCTGACCGGTTCATCTGGACTTCCTTCAGCCTTCCACCTCTGAGACGGGTCCCGTCCCTTGGCCTCCTCGTCTTCTTCTTCATATGACTCGTAGGAGCTGCTCAGTGCGTCTGAATCATTGTCTGCACATCAAAAGCACAACAAATGACTCATTACTGACAAAACAACATGCCTCAGTTTATTGTAACATTAMTGAAGTGATGGCATGAATAAGACTCACTGGAGGTTTTAGAGGGTCCATTAATCCTGGTGATGGGGTAGTTATTGTCAGCGTCTTCATAGTAGGCATCTTCAACAGAGTTCCTGGAAGCTACAAATTTGTGAAAGGGCAGATCTCAAGCTCACTGCCTTTTATTTAGAAAAAAAAACTTTATTAGTGTGTGTGTTTAAAACTGACTGTTTATACTGGTGGTAAAATACTGCGGAGAGGATCCAGGATCAAGAGGAACAGCTTCTTCATAGTAATCATCAGGAAGTGGGGTGGCTGGCAGAGGTGGAGGCGTGTCAGTCGGAGTCTGAAGAACCAAAAGAAAAGTTAAACCAGAATTCTTGGCAGAGCTAAAAAAAAAAAGAAATAACACAGATGTCACAGAGTTCCAGCTGACTTACAGATTTAATAAGATGTATTTTCTCCTCTTTGTGCTCCTTCTGCTCCACTGGAGATGCACTGAGCATGTGCAAATCACAGTCTGAAACAACAAAACGGTTTCTCATTTTATAGATCTGCTAGCAAGATGACTAGATATGATACAGTCAACACTGTGAAGTGTTTTGTAAATAAAGGGCTACTAACCAAATTCCTCAAACAAAGACTCTACAAAGCTAGTGCCATTTCCATAGAGACAGCTGTTCATGTAGACGTCTGATCCTTTGACTGTAGGAAAAGAAAACAAACACAAATGAGGTGTTTGGGTTTGGTTGGGGTCATAATGATAAATTACGTGAAGACTTGCATCACACAAAACAGAGAGTAAACAAAAAGATGATGATTAAAGATGTAAAAAAAAGTGCAGAAACTCAGATTGTATTGTGAGAATGTTTGGGCTCTTTACCACACTTGATGACMGTCAAGATATTTAGCCAATCCCCTTTCAATGACCTCGTCCCATTAGCCTCTGTTACCTTTGCATTTCAATATCCTCTTACATGAATCCTTTTATCCCCCCTCTCTTCCTGCACTCGTCCAGATAAACAAGMATCAGCTTTAAAGACCTAGAGGACATTTATTGCTGCAAATGTCCTGATTTGCTGCATGTTTACAACAAGAGTTACAGTACCATTGAGATGAGGATTTACAGCCTGTTTGGCTCCAGACGAATAAATCCAACCATTAGCTCCAACACATTGAGAAATACACAGCAACTCTAAACTGATCAGAGCCTTTAAACACACTACTCAACTAAAATTTCCCCAAACTGCTGAAAGTGTCAACTTAAATTAACACAGCTGAAAAACTGCAAACATAGCACGATTTGACAGCAAAAAAATGTGTTGGTGAAATATTTTAACAGTTTTTTATTGCATTAATACTCTAATATTTCTCTACATGATAA